TGGTTGGTTTCTTGGCTTGGTTTGTTGGTGGGTTGGTTTGTTCTTGGTTGGTTGGTTGGATTAGATTATTGTTTTCCAACATAGTGTATATCTTTTGTAAATAATTTTATATTTGTCTTTTGTATATTATGTTATATTAGATGTATTTTGTTGTCTAACTTTGTGTATATCTTTTGTAAATAATTTTATATGTGTCTTTTGTATATTATATTATATTAGATTATTGTTTTCCAACATTGTGTATATCTTTTGTAAATAATTTTATATGTGTCTTTTGTATATTATGTTATATTAGATGTATTTTGTTTTCTTACTTTTTGTATATCTTAAGTGAATAATTTTGTGTCTTTTGTATATTATGGTTATTGGTATATTAGATGTATTGCTTTCCAACATTGTGTATATCTTTTGTAAATTATTTTACGTGTCTTTTGTATAAAATATTAATACTTGTTGTATAAAATATGTTTTTTTCAAAATTATTTATATGTTGTGTACATTTGTGAAAGAATGAGAAATTTTAGTTTATCACACCGACTGGTTGGTTTGTTGGTTGGTTTATTTGTTTGTTTGTTGGGCCGTTTGTTGGTTGGTCCATTGCTTGATTTGTTTTTTTGGTTTGTTGGGTGGTTTGTTTATTGGTTTCTTGCCTTGGTTTGTTGGTTGGTTGGTTGGTTGGTTTGTTGTTGGTTGGTTTCTTGGTTGGTTGGTTTCTTGCTTGGTTGGTTTCTTGGTCCATTGGTTGGTTTGTTGTTGGTTGGTTTGTTACTTGGTTGTTTGGTTGGTTTGTTTGTTGGTTTCTTGATTTGTTGGTTGGTTTGTTGTCGGTTGGTTTCTTTGTTTGTTCGTTGGTTTGTTGTGTGTTGGTCCGTTGCTTGGTTTGTTGGTTTCTTGGGTTGTTGGTTGGTTGGTTTCTTGGTTTGTTGGTTGGTTGGTTGGTTTGTTCATTGGTTTCTTGGCTTGGTTGGTTGATTCGTTTGTTGGTTGGTTGGTTGGTTGGTTGGTTGGTTGATTGATTGATTGGTTGATTGATTGGTTTGTTTGTTGGTTTGTTGTTGGTTGCTTTCTTGGTTTGTTGGTTTATTGTTGGTTGGTTTCCATGTTTGTTGGTTGGTTTGTTATTTTTTGGTTTGTTGGTTTGTTGCCCTGTTTGTTTTTTGGTTTGCTGGGTGGTTTGTTGGTTTGTTTGTTGGTTTCTTGACTTCCTTTGTTTGTTGGTTGGTTGGTTGGTTGGTTTGCTTGTTTGTTTCTTGGATGTCTTTTGTATATTCTGTTATTAGATTTTTTTCCAACATTGTGTATATCTTTTGTGAATGGTTTTATATGTGTCTTTTGTATATTAGATGTATTTTGTTTTTTTTAACTTTGTGCATATCTTTAATTTGTAAATAATTTTATATGTGTCTTTTGTATATTATGTTATATGAGATATATTGTTTTCCAACATTATGTATATCTTTAATTTGCAAATGATTTTTTGTGTCTTTTGTATGTAATAGTAATAATTGTTATTTCAAATTTATCTATATCTTGTGTACATTTGTAAAAGAATGAGAAATGTAAAGTTTAGTTTATCAAACCGACTGGTTTGTTGGTTGGTTCGTTGGTTGGTTTGTTTGTTTGTTGGTTGGTTGGTTGGTTGGTTGGTTGGTTGGTTGGTTGGTTTGTTGTTGGTTGGCTTCTTGGTTTTTTGGTTTATTGTTGGTTGGTTTTTGGTTTGTTGGTTGGTTGGTTTTTGTTTGTTGGTTTCTTGGTTTGTTGGTATGTTTGTTTGTTGGTTTGTGGTTGGGTTGTTGGTTGGTTGTTGGTTGGTTTCTTGGTTGGTTTCTTGGTTTCTTGGTTTGTTGGGTGGTTGGTTTGTTCTTGGTTGTTTGGTTGGTTGGTGCGTTGCTTGGTTTGTTTTTGGTTTGTTGGGTGGTTTGTTGGTTTCTTGGCTTGGTTTGTTGTTGGTTGGTTTGTTGGATGTCTTTTGTATATTATGTTATATTAGATTATTGTTTTCCAACATTGTGTATATCTTTTGAAAATTATTTGATATGTTTCTTTTGTATATTATGTTATATTCGCTGTATTTTGTTTTCTATCTTTGTGTATATCTTTTGTAAATAATTTTTTATGTGTCTTTTGTGTATTATGTTATATTAGATGTATTTTGTTTTCCCACATTGTGTTTATCTTTTGCAAATAATTTTTAATGTCTCTTTTGTATATTATTTTATATTAGATGTATTTTTTCCTAACATTGTATATATCTTTTGTAAATAATTTTATGTGTCTTTTATTATTATGTTATTTAGATGAATTTTGTTTTCTAACTTTGTGTATATCTTTTGTAAATAATTTTATATGTGTCTTTTGTATATTATGTTATATTAGATGTATTGTTTTCCAACATTGTGTATATCTTTTGTAAATACTTTTACATGTATATGTGTCTTTTGTATGTAATAATAATAATTGTTATGTTAGTTGTATTGTTTTCCAAAATTATTTATATCTTTTGTACATTTGTAAAAGAATAAGAAATATATATAAAGTTAAGTTTATCACACCGACTGGTTTGTTGGTTGGTTTGTTTGGTGTCTTTTGTATATTATGGTATATCATTTTCCAACATTAGTTATATCTTTTGTAAATAATTTTATGTGTTTTTTGCATATATGTTGTATTAGACTAAACTCTCCACTCCTAAGCTTAGTTGCGTGATCCATCTTTCTTCTTTCTATTCTTCGTATGAAGTACCATAATGTCTTTTAGTAATCTACGCATATAGTGAACGAGAACAAGTTTCTATTGTAGGAGTACATGCTGACGTTATCGTCGTCCTAAGTTAGTCTACCATCTCATGAAAAGGGCTATAATATGAGATACAACGTTCTATATTATACTAGAATATGTTTGAGTCAGTCAACAATTCTCGTCCTATGTTAGTCTATCATCTCATGAAGAGGGTTATAATAAGAGATACAACGTTCTATATTATACTAGAATATTTTTGAGTCATTCAACAATTCTATCTATTGACTTGTAAAACAGAGAAGTAAGGGAAATAACGTCTAACTTGGTATATCATGCCAATGGAGTAAACTTGAACAGTATAACATTACCAATGCATGGTTTACCACTTAAGCAGAGTTATATTGCAGAGATCATGGTATTGGTCTAATTTTGCAGTTATTGTCCTGGACATAAGAAAATAAGATTTCCACGATCTCATATCTTCGCCAAATGATGTTAACTCTTGCAGTTGTCATATTATACAATTTCAATCATTGATTTTGTAAATAAGAGCCTCATTTGCATGGATTATATCAGATCATATTCTCCACCCAATGACAGTCTTATTTTACCAAAAAGGCTATTATAGCACTTCCTCATAAATTATGCAAATGAGGTAATGATTTAAATAAATTATGTGTATTGTTGTTTACCTTGACTTAACTTCCAAATATGGCAAGTATGAAATTCCCAGCAGTTACAACTATGAAATTATAAAATTTTGCATTAATTATGCAAAGTATGTCCTCATTTACATAATCTATATCCTCAGATGTTTTATCTCGTTCTCAAGTAGATGTCACACGTGTTTCATAGTTCCATTATCGAACAAAGCAGATGTATAGAATTTCCTCATTAATTATGCAAATTAGCTCATGATTTGCATAATTGTCATCTGATTATGTCAAGCATCACTTCAACTACCTACATACCAAAAATCACGACAATCCGTCAACCGGTTCTTGAGTTATCCTCCTTTGAAAATTTTTCAACAAATGCTCCTGCAGTTCCAGAACAAGCCGCTAGGGGACCCAAACTCATGTCACCTCTTCCCTATCCCAAGAGCTGTCTGCTATCCAAAATTCGTGACCCAAGCATGTCCAGATCATGAGATATCAAAACCGGAAGTTCTGCTGCAGTACCTAGGAAAGCCGCCAGGGGGCCCAAAATCTAATCATTTCTAGGTCTCATAAAGACCTACTCACCTACCAAGTTTCATTAAAATCAATCCACTGCTTCTCGAGTTATCTTGCTAAACCACAAACACACACACACACACACAGACAAACGCTACTGAAAACATAACCTTCTTGGCGAAGGTAATAAAAACAGCCTTTTGGCAGCTGGTACATGTAATGTTAAATGTACTGTACATTGTATATTGCTTTTTCTGCTCTGCACAGAATCAGCAAGATTCAAATAATAGTTATATTATATAATTCCACCAACAATATTGGATTTGTTTTACAGTTTGTAAATTGTGTAAAAGACTTGAATTATATTAAGTATGCCATGTATGATTATGTTGTGTTTACTTTTAGTTAGGATAAACTGATTTTGTGGGCTAAACATCTGAATACAACATCTTATATGTATGAATATCTATGAATCCATTATGTTAGATTGAGCTGAAAGCTATATTACAACTACAACTACATAATGATATCAGGGATCGAAATAATGGGTGCATGTGCACCTTAGTGCACCCAAATCTGGATCGGTGCACCCAATTTTTGACTGTGGGTGCACCGGTGCACCTAAATATTTTTGTAGTATTAGTACGGTAAAGGTACAAAACACTGTAATTCCAACATTGCTTTGATGGAATAAAATAATAAAAAACCTTTGATGCACTGCTTGTTTGAAATTCTTGAGATAGAATTAGATTTACTTCAGTTTTTAAAGCCCGAAAAATTATGTGTCGGCGCAGTGCCGACTTCGCGTTACCCACCAACTTCCGGATCCCGACTACAACACTGGACATGAGATCTCTTCCCTCTCGTTCCCCGGTTTCTTGATAGTCATGTGACCAAAACATCGCGAACTCGCTTCCGGAACTTTCCGACGCTTTTTGGGAGTTACCTCGGGGGCATGTCATGTGACAAAATGTTGTTTTCGTGCAGTTTTCGCTTGACTTCGATAATCTTCGAGGTCACATCGTCAAAACCCGGGTGTCGACAAAATTCGGCCATGAAATTCGTGGATGACAAAGCAAAACAAATATGTCGAGACAGACTTCGCTTCTACGGTTCCTTCAGCCGAGGTCCGATCGTGATGACGACGAGATGTGGCAACATCAGCCCAAGCTCTTCAGAACCCCGAAGGAAGCGATGAAGCTGGAAACCAACGGGAAACACGCCCGGACGAGCGAGAAGTGGACAGACCGTGCCGTGGGAGCGCCGAGACAGAGGGGGAGGGGGGCGGCCATGTGCTCTCGACAACATTCCCGGGGCCCTCCTCCACGGCCTCCCGAGCTCCTTCCGACTGTCCAGTTCCGGGTCATCAGAGTCGGAGTCCGAAACCGAATCAACCGAGAAGTCAAGTGCAAAAAGATTGAGGTCTTTGTGTTGTATTTTTTTTTCTATTTCTAGTATTTTTTTTTATATATTTTTTTTTCGATCTCGGCATCCTAATTTGCCCTTTTTCGGTAAGATCATTACTGTGTTATTTCCATAGCGATGCAATTTCCACTCTTGCTACGATCATTTTTAGCATTCTTTACGTGTGGAATATTAATTTGATATTAATAATATTTAACTTATTAATGTACTACTGGAAATATGTGGTGCACCCAAATTTTTTTTGGTGCACCTAATTTTTTTGGTTAGGTGCACCAGTGCACCTAATCAAAAAAATGAATTTCGATCCCTGGATATTAATTGTATGTACATTGCAAATAGAGCAACAATCACAGGAATTACATGTATCTACATGGTGAAAGCTATTTTATTCCTGTAAGATTCATGAATGACAAATTTATATTGCGAAGACAAAATGTGTGTCAGAATTTTCTTTTTCTGTGCCTTTTTGAAATTTTGGTGTGTGTGTGCGTGTGTGTGTGTGCGTGTGTGTGTCTGCATGTCTTTTTTACACTTATTCTGGAACTACAGTAACTGGAAATCCTGTTTTTTCACTGTAATTCAGATACAACCTGGTCACATACTGTATGATGCACCTACGAGAATATTTTCAGCGATGATCATGCCATTTACATGTCTTGGACAAAAATTATCTATTTCGTTTATAACTTTCCCATTCTTTCCCCCTCTAATTTAGTCTAAAGTGACCCGCATTACTATGACTTGTCATCCAAAGGCAGAGCAGGGAAGAGGATATCAAGGTCAACTGGACGTGAGTTTACTTCCTTTACCGTAGTAATTAGTAATACATCTACTAGTAGTAGTAGCCTATATAATCTGTACTCTTAGACTAGCAACTGTTTTGAAACTTCTATTTGTCTTTTTTCTGAGTTGCTGGAAAAAAAATTCTGGTTCTGAATCAACTCAAAAGTGCTCATTTTGCCCCCAACAGTTGAGGAAAGTCCTTTTCTTCCTACAGTTTTTCCATCTACACTGTATGAATGCAGTGATTTAATTAAAAGTTCAATGTCAATGTTTAAATATTAACCCAGCCGTTTGTGTTGACTTCATGGCTCTTATCGTAGCATTTGGGGCTATAATAGGATGCCTAGACTTGTTTTTATTTTCTTTTTTCTAATTCCTGTTGTTTCATATTTTTTATAAAAAAAATCTGAGAACCAACAAATTAAATTGGTGTGGCCTAAAGACACATTATGGTATGTGTAGATGAATAAATGTAATGTATGAGTTATAATAAATGCTAGCTGTACGCGTCTGACACCAAGAGATGTGTAAACTTCATACTGCCGCCATTTACCGGTTTCATAGAGTGTGACATGTCGTGCTACAGTAATCCAATAATCCATGGGATTATAATGACTCCTCAGGTGAAACAACCTGGCCATGTAAAAAATGTGATGTGTCATAGTCACCTGTCAGTCGCTTTGAGCTACACTCGCGACTGGTCACTTTGAGTTTGTGTAGAGTACGACATCAAATAATCCTGAAGTCACTTACTTGGATACGTGAAGATTTGTAAAACAGACACTACCTAGGACACAGGTTGGACAATTTTTTTTGTATCTGCTTTGTAGAGTTATAATATCTCTACCAGCAGGTTTATTACCTCCTACATGTGTGGGTGCAGGGTTTATGTACATGTATTTGCAAGCCATAGCAAAGTGCATTGCACAATTCTATACGATTAGCTCTCGAAAAAGTATCGATGATATCAGGCCTCACCTCTGGTAAGGATGACTAATTAAACGCATGTGGGATTGTGGCTAGACTAGTTGGACGTAACAGCATTGTACTATCTTTGTCATGTTTAGAGGTATTATCATGATTGTTACAAACACCTTTTTGAGTTAAGACCCATGTTTTTGCCAACTACCAGTAGAACAAAATCCATGTTTCCCGAATGTCGAAGACAAGACAAATTCATTGAAGAGATTCATTTGTCACGTATAGATACAGTTCCTAGTGAATTCTTTCATCAGTGACAACTTTGGAAGGATAAGGATACTAACCTCCAAATTTTCGATGGCTATCAGTCCATCTTGTTCACGGAGTGGCCTAATCTCGCAAGAGCGCGAGACTAGGCCCGAGACTTGCATCGGTCTGTCGGGTCCCACCCCCCGCCGCCTCCCTCCGAAGTAGGGGTAAGTAAGTCTTGGGGAGCTCCCAACCTTCTGTCCGGTTTAGCTTGGCACCTTCCAACTGTATGTGCACCGCTTCTTTAATCTTCCTATGTGGGTTACGAGACTCTTGGTCTATGATTTTGGTCTTGGTCATTACATCAGAAAGACTGCAAATCAGCGTTTAAAGTCAACACCAACTCCAGGCTGGTCACAACATCACTACCAGGCCCATCTCTGACATTATTGAAATCATAGACCAAGAGTCTCGTAACCCACATAGGAAGATTAAAGAAGTGGTGCACATACAGTTGGAAGGTGCCAAGCTAAACCGGACAGAAGGTTGGGAGCTCCCCAAGACTTACTTACCCCTACTTCGGAGGGAGGCGGCGGGGGGTGGGACCCGACAGACCGATGCAAGTCTCGGGCCTAGTCTCGCGCTCTTGCGAGATTAGGCCACTCCGTGAACAAGATGGACTGATAGCCATCGAAAATTTGGAGGTTAGTATCCTTATCCTTCCAAAGTTGTCACTGATGAAAGAATTCACTAGGAACCAAGACAAATTCAGTACTTTCAATTGGAAAACTGCTGACAAGAGGAATGAATAATGAACTGTAATTTGAACCACACAGTTCTGCACACGTATAGTCACAGGGACTATCATGATTCAACCTTCTAAATTCTAGGTAGATCACCTACTGTTGTATTTAGAACCATTCAGAATGTTTTTCTTTACTAATAATTCTATCCTTAATGAAAATGTTTGGTATAGTCCGTGTGTGTCCAGAACTGTGCCTGGGGCAAATCTACGTTCTTGGATACACGGAGACTATCCAGAACTGTGCCTGGGGCAAATCTACGTTCTTGAATACACGGAGACTATCCGGAACCGTGGCTGCACCTAACCCTAACCCATTCAGGCACAGAACTATTAGATGTGTCCAGAACTGTGCCTGGGCGTAACACAACAGCTTAGCAGGCACGCGGCGCGGCGGCAGCTGGCTACATTACACCGAACGACTTGTTACACCTAACCCTTGAACATCTAACTCTAAACATTTTTAAAGCAATCTAATGACAATGTCCCTATACTGTACTTGGTTACAGCAATAGTTCTAGGAAAGAATGAATTCTGGAACACCTCAATCCTGGTTTCAAATTTGATAACTCTTGTACATGTACTTGAAGGCATGGCTATTTCTTGTTCTCTCCTGGGCTGGTATTAGGTACTTAGTAGTTGTCCAGTTTTTAGTCATTTTGTACATCATACATAGTCTGGACATTTTTCTTCTATCTTCCAGAGACACCCACTGTAGGTTTTAATTTCCATGGCACTGACACCTCTTTCATAATAGTAACTGTTGTTCATACAGAATCTTGCCGCTTGATTCTGTACCCATTCCAGTTTGTCTTAGTTTGTATATGGATTCCATACTGTTGCGGCATGCTGTATAAAGAAGTTAGACAGACGTAACTCACGCATTCAGCTAATTTAAAAGAGCTCCTTAGTTTCTTTTTAGTTTTATTTACATGTAATTGTCTCTGTTGTGATTGTGTCTAGTTTTATTTAATTGTCTCTGTTGTGTGTTGCACTTCAGTTCTGAGGGTGTTAAAATTAGCTTCCTTCAGAGACTTGTGGGGAGGTGGCGTTGATTTTCCTCGGGAACAAAGTGAGTTATGCCGTGGAGGGACAGTTTTGCCGCCATGAGTTTGTGCGGAGATATTTTGAAAACTGTCCCTCTGTGGCATCACTCGCCTCGCTCCCCAAAAAATTACCGCCATCATCCCACAAGCCTGTGTCTTAATTTAAAAGTTACTGTAATGTTTTATGTCTGTTGTGAGGTAACGTCATCACATTCGGCTTAGAGCAGCCATTGGTTTGTTGCTTGTTTACATGTATATGGTCGATGTTTGTTGGCTTGGGGGGAAAATAAAAGATATGGACTGATGAAGATAAAATAATGGTGAACTACTAGTACATGATGATCAGGACAGTCGATAGGTAACTTTTGCTGAATTCGACGCAGCACTGAATTTTTAAACATGTCCATGTCCTCACTTCATTAAAAATTAATCCAAGAAGATTAGAACTTGGCATGTTTAATATATCTAATGGACTCCACAAAGCTTTCGCAACAAAGGAACAAGAATTTGATTTTCTATTTCATTGGGAGCCAATTTCAACGATGCAACCAACTGGTACATTTGCACGTTGCACCTGGCTAGAATTGTTGTTTTGCTACCATGGCAACCACTATTGACGTCTTCTGTATGAGACTGGGTGTGGTCATGTAGTTAGAGACCAACAAAACCCCTCCTTTGAAGATGTTACGTGTGCCTGGAGTAGACAATATACAGACGTATAAAATTATACATTGCACTGTACTCACATATGCAGTATAATAGTAACAATGGATAGCTGGCAAAATGAAGCCAGTAGTGCATTAATTTTATATCTTATTATTATCCACCTTTTGTTGACTTTCTCAAATCAAATCTTTATTCAGTAAGGGTCCAGCAGGCAACGGACCTGAATTTCGTCCTTATTACAGAGAGTTCAAAGGATAGGTGACACATTAAAACAATGGCTTAAGGAACTAGACTAACATTATAATTATAATATGCAAGCGTGAAAGTTGATAAAATATATGAGTTGGTAAAATACAGGAAGAAAATTAAACTGTTCTCCAACTGAAAAACGAAATTAACTCACCACATGGCTAAAAGTCATGTGTCCACAGCACGTGGGTCATAAAGTTGAGAGATTCAATGGAATATTTCTGGTGAGATAATTTCGTTTTTGGGTTGGAGAACAGTTTAATTTTCTTCATATTAATTTTGCAATTTATTTCATCCCCATTTAGGATGTCAACAGTCATGTTGTCTACATTCCTGGCCCTGGTGGCTGTGCTAGTGGTTCAGATACATCCCGCTCAATCTGGTAAGCCCCTTTAAGTCTAATCTTAAGCTTACATGTAGAGAAGTAACATTTGCAAAGCAAGTTATTGCATAATGTTTACCTTCGGACATGGTCTGCCCTCTTAATTTTTACTCAAACACATTCACATAGTATGTACTACGTATATGGTGACAGGGGCAGAGCAGACCATGAAATTGCAACATTATGTAACCCAACACCAGTCACCATGGTGACAAATGTCAACAAATCATGCCCACATACATGTACTTAGAGCTTACCATATTGGTAATAGATATAACCCCTCCTCTACCCGCCCTGTCCTTGTACGATTAAAAAAATACAGTGACAAACTAAATATCTTATATCAATCACGCGTATTAAAAGACATGAACATAACACTCGAACAACCAACGATATTGGGGTATTCCCACTATACCTCGATTCACAAACACAATTGATAAGATATTGGCTTCGCCTACATAGTCTACCGAACGACAGGATCGTTAACTGAAGAAAGCTTATATAACTTCTGTTGAACTACAACAAGACTGGGCTGTCCATGTTCAGGACATGCGTTGTACGCACGGATTTCAAAATGTATGGTTAAATCCCTCCATTAATACCAACCAGTTTGGACATATCTTTAAAGATCGTCTACAAAACACATTTCTCTCTGGCTGGAGACAAGAAATTAAAAGTCTTACCAAACTCAAATTACCTACTGCAAAATTAAAACCCAATTCTGTTTGGAACTATCTTTTATCAATTCAAAACAAATCATTTAGAAACAGCATTACAATACTCTAAGGATTAGTGCCCACTCTTTGCAAATTGAAAAAGGTCGCCACTGTAACACACCAGCCAATGAGAGACTGTGTCCCACGTGTCATAAAGGCATTGAAAACGAATTACATTTTATAATAAATTGCCCAACCTATGATGAAAACCGACGAAAATTGATACAACATAATTACATGTAAGACCAATATTATGATAACACTACCCCATACAAAGACAGAGATATTCTATTATGTTACTATAATGCCCTGTCAACATTTCCACTTATGTAGGCCAATTTGTACACAATTCCATGACAAAACGAAAAACGTAATTAATTCCTGACACAATTTATTACTACATTGTATTAATAGAGTTAGATTTAGTATAATTAGTGTCTCTCTTTTGTTATACATTGTTTATGAAGCAGACCAGATTCCTATTTCAGTTAGTAGAACTGTTAGATATTCTCAACACCACCATATGTGTATTTAACACCACAAACTATGTATATTTTGCCATACGTTGTACCTGTCAGTGAGTAAAAACAATATGTTTTCCTCCGGTAAAACATTTTAAAAAGTCTAATTCCGTCTAGCCCCTGTCACACATCCCAAACACCAGCCGATGAAGGTTGGCTATGCCTTTCCATACAAATCAAATCAAATTTGAGTTAAATAGGAGTCAATGGACCGCCAACTACATCCAAAGTACTCCTGTACACCCGGTCACCAGCCAACTATCACACCAGGCCATACCTGCCGTCCACATTCAAGAAGATGATTAAAGAAGACATTCAGCTAGTGCACCTGTAACAGTGGGGGGTTTATAGGCACTACCAACTGACCCAGCTGAGGAGTCTAGACCTTTTCGGCCAAGTGGTTAGAGCGTTTGGTTATGAAGCTCACTGGTGCTTGGGAGGTTGTGGGTTCGAACCCCAGCCCAGGACCAGAAGGGTTTTTATCTGTTTCTACTCGCTCCTCATGTTTCTTACAGTGGTAACCCACACCGGCCCTGTGAGTTCTGGCAAAGAATGCCGCTCCAGGGATGTTGAATTTGGAAGATTCGAGGACGAATCTTGAAAATGGGGAGGGGTCTAGACCTTTTCAGCCGGGTCAGCCCCTGTTACACTCCCAAAGAGTAGCCGACCTTGGTCCTAACCATGGTTGAGGGGAGTTTGGTTTGTGTTTTGGAGGCCACATTTGGCTGTGTGTGACAGGGGCTGTAGTCTTTTGTTGGAATAATTTTTTATGCCATTTCAGTTATCACATTTGGTGATGAGATTGTAAAAAAAATGGAATGGAATTGGATAATTGAAAGTTAATTGCAAAATCCATGCCCGAGGGCTAATTGCAAGAACATGATAACAGAAATAAACAGTAAAAATAATAATATTAAGTAAATGCTGAATGCTACTTTAGATGTACATTTTATACATTTGTAGTTATCTTTTCCGTGTGCAGTGAAGTATGAAATGATAATTATTCAGCATCATAAGTCTTTCAAATCCCCCTATTTATATTATTATTATTTTTTATTTTAAAAAAGAAAACACTGTTGGATCAGTTCATCCAAAGTCTTTTAAAAAATCATCAACAAAACGTTACTATTTAGCAACAACAAAACCCAGAATCCCTATACCTAATAGATATACTACTGACCCTAGTCGTGAAATCATAGGAGTCTGGTCACCGATGAAACAAAGTAAAAGATCATAACTTAAAGATTTTCCAACTGAAATCTCTTACATTTTTAGACTCTTTTGTCCGCCTACCATCCCACGAACTGACCACTGCACCCCAAGAAATGACCACTGCACCTCATGAAATGACCACTGCACCCCAAGAAATGACCACTGCACAAGGAGAAACAACTGCTGCAACAGGTAAGTAATGAAAGTCACATTATGGGAAGGAGGCCAGACTTCTAAGCGTGTGCGTGTGCGAAGTGCAATCAGAAAATGTTATTGCCAGTTAGTGCCGCCCCCCCCCCCCCCAAACAACACCGGTCTCACTGGGAAAAAAATCAGTGCTCCCTCCTCCACCCAAAAAATGCCAACCACACCTGCAATGCCTACAAAGGAGGTCAGGACTATTCGGACTTGTGACATACTTGTGGCATTTATGTGAAAGTGAACATCATTAAACATAACTTATTCAAATCAGGACCTCATTTCCATAATTTATGGGAAATCATTATTTACAAACTTTTATATCAACAGGGGTTAATGCTTAAAGTATGTTCAATGCTTTATTATTTAATGTAAACTTGGCTTGGGTATCTGAAGGAAGATTTTTGTTTTGCGAATTAAAGACCTAATGTACTAAGTAATGTTAAGGTTGAAGTAGTTATGATTACGTGATTCTTGACTGGCGTAATTTATAATTAAATCCACTGTCATGTTTGTGTCCTCAGCTTGTGAGCACGTCAGAAGGACTGGAGAAACCACACTTTACCAGTGGGACCTCGAGCTTCCCGGGTCGTCACCTTTGACCTTCAGAGCCAAGGCCAGCCACACTGTTTTCATCGCCTTGTCTTGGGAACGGTCCAATCGTGGTGACTTGTATGAGATTGTCATCGGTGGTTGGTGGAACGCACATTCTGTCATTCGCCGCTCACACGAAGGCCACATCGAAGCAACTGCTGCTACACCAGGTATGTGTACGCTGTTGTGTTTTCTGTTTCCTGACTGCATGACCCTATAAAAAACTGTGAGTGCTGCCTTTTATTGGGGGTGGACCCCTTCAGGCAACATAATTAGCTTTGGAGCTGATCAACCATTTTCTAGCTCCATGATCTGACATCTGTAATGAAACATTGTACAATCAGTTTTCCAACATTGACATGGAAAGTATAAAGTGTCCTCATGCAAAATTTACTTGTTAAACAATATTGTTTCAGTTCTGTATCTGTATCGGTATACATGTAGCCGGTATAACCGCCCTTCGGCGTAACACACCAGTTTCGCAAGCACGCGGCGCAGCTGCAGCTAGCTATATCACACCGAACGGCTTGTAACACTCAATCTTAAAGTTCGCACAAATCGTCATTTGATTGCAGGAGTTGTTTAAATCTATCTAGTGATGATGCCCCAACTGTGCTTGGTGGCAACGAGTTCCAGTCTACGATAGTTCTGGGGAAATACGAGGTTTTGAATACCTCAATTCTTGGTTGATAACTCTGATATTTGAAGGCATGACTGTTTTAATGTTCTTTTCTGGGCTGGTATCAGATACTTAGTGGTTGGTACGTCCACCAGTTTATTCATTTTGTACATCATGCACAGTCTGGACATTCTACGTCTGTCTTCCAGCGACCCCCACTGTAGGTTTCTTTTCATTTCCGTGACACTAGCACCTCTTTGATAGTTGTTTGTGCAGAATCTTGCAGCTTGGTTCTGTACCCTTTCCAGTTTATCTTTGTCTTTCTTTAAGTTTGTATATGGATGATAAGTTTGATCAACATATGCCATATGCAAGAAGACTTCACATTTAAAAAAATGACTGCTTCTTGGTTTCAGACATTTTGTCTGCTGATGAGTTGCGAGGCTTCTGGATCTCCTGGTCCCCGGATGGAACCATAGCCGTGGGTCGGGAGGGAGAAGGCAGCCCATTCCTGCAATGGCAGGACCCAAAACCGCTGCCTTTCCAGTACTTAGGTTACTCCACAGGATATGGCAGCACTGGACAGTTTATGTTTCCATGCCAACGTATGTACACTTTTTGTGTACATAATTTAGTTAGCATCCGTGTCCATAATATCACCAGGGTCCATAATATCACCACCTTGAGAAACTGTGCTTTAAGATATTTTTACTGCAACATACTTTTGGTATGCACTCCTCAAATGTACATACCTAGGGTATGTTGCAGTAAAAATATCTTTAAGCACACTGTTTCTCAAGGTGGCGATATTATGGACCCTGGTGATATTATGGACACGGATGTTACATAAAATGTATAATCTATTCATTGGTTCAGCATGAACATGTCTCTTGTCCAGCTATATTCATTTTGTAAGGTTGCCGAACTACATGTATATTAATAAAAAAAGTATTATAAGTGATAATAAGGGTTAACCTGGGTAAAGAAGACCAACAATCTGTTGACACATTCAAGATAGGGTTGGCCCTGCACATGGGCCACCTCATGTCACAGATGGAAGTCGGGTATTACTAGTTGCGACCATGCACAAAACGCACAAATTTAGGTTCTGTTCTGTATTGTTGTCATGCACATTTTTTATTTTCACCGCACCCACACCTTGATCACCAAATTCAAAACCCGTGTGGAACATGTAAATTTGACACCATCCTTGTCCCTGATGCTGAAATCACTATCCCTGTCCTTGGTGCTGAAAACACTATCCAATGATGAAATTCTTAAAACAGCCTCCAGTTTAATTTACTTACATTAAATGACCACTGTGCCCCATTTTTTTTTAGAAATGACCACTGCACCCCAAGAAGCAACCACTGCACAAGAAACAACTACAAGTAAGTATCGAAAGTCACATTATGTACTATATATAAAGGCGGCCAGACTTCTAAGCGTGTGTGATCTACATTGTCAGAAAATACTGCAGCTTACTAATAAGTGCCCCCCCCCCCTAAGAACAATACCAGTCGCACTGTATGTATTATAAGTTGGCATGGGTATCTGAAGGAAGATTTTCATTTGCAAATTAATGGCCTAATGTAAGTAAATTATGTCAACTTAAAGGTCCTTGGTTTGAAATAGTTATGATCACATGATTCTCCACTGACATAAATTAAATCCATGCAACGTCATGTTTGTGTCCTCAGCTTGTGAGCACATCAGCAGGGCCACAGATACCAAACTTTACCAGTGGGACCTCGAGCTTCCCAGGTCGTCACCTTTGACGTTTAGGGTCAAGACCAACAGGGATGTTTTCTTCGCCTTGTCTTTGGAACGGTCCGATCGTGGTGACTTGTATGAGATCCTCATTGGTGGTTGGTGGAACACACAGTCTGTCATTCGCCGTTCAGCCGAAGGCATCCCCAAAACCACTGTCTCTACACCAGGTATGAGTATGCTGTAATTCCTGTTTCCCAACTGACCCAAGAAAAAACTGCCGACCCTAGGTTTTTTTTGGGTGGACCCCTACAAGCAACATTTTTATTTGATCAATAGCGATCACCAAAGTCTAAAAAAAGAAGAGAAAGATAGTATTTACTGACCCTAATTTTTTCAGGACTGAAACAGGAAACACAACTTTTTCCCTAGGCCTATGTTAAATTTCATAATACAAATTAAGCCTTTTCAGAGTACTTTACTTCAAAAAGTTGGTTCAAGCCAGAAGAGACTTTATTAAGCAGGTCCTTATGATGTCATCATCCCTGTCCAAATTATGTGTCTTTAAGTTTAAAAAGGTAGGCAGACAATCCAGCAGTGATTACAATTCGAAACTGCAAGGAAAAGAAATGACATAGGAAGACATCATTAAGTAGTGTGCGTAGTCCAGTGGTTAGCGACCTGCCTCTGGACCGAAAGGTTGGGGGTTCGAACCCAGCTGTTGTCACTCACCACTTGTCATGGTCGCAGTCTTTAGGATGGGATGTTAAGCCGTGGTCCACTGTTCTTTGTGCTTGTCGAAAAGAGCTAGCCTAGGGGAATTTCCCCTGTACAATGAACCTGTTACTGTACATATAACAGCGAGCAGATTATTATTGGAATGAGCAGAGCACTTTGGACTAATGCCTCTGACTATTTACAGCTTAGAGTTACATATCCAATATTTTGTCACAAACTTCTCTGTTACATAGCGGATTATAATGACCCCCAGTGGGGGTCTTCATGCTTCGTTAAAAATTGAAAAATCTCAAGATTCATTCTCAAGATCTCAATATTTAAGACTATCTTATAAGACAATCTTGAGATTGTTCATGACAATCTCCAGATCTTTCAGAAAATCTTGAGATGAAAACAAAAGGTCTCAAGATCTTTCCAAATGTTTTCAAAGTATCTTGAGATTTTTTCCAAAGCATCTCGAGATGCTTTAAAAAATATCAAGATTGTTTAAAAGATCTCACGTTTTTTCAAGATTGCTTTAAAAATCTTGATATTTCTTAAAGCATCTCGAGATGCTATGGAAAAATCTCAAGATACTTTGAAAACATTTGGAAAGATCTTGAGACCTTTTCTTTTCATCTTAAGATTTTCTGAAAGACCTGGAGATTGTCATAAAAACTCTCAATATTGTCTCATAAGATCTCAAGATTTCGTCTAAAATATTGAGATTTTTCAATTTTTAACAAAGCGTGGGGTCATTATGATCCGCTATGTAACAGAGAAGTTTTTGACAAAATATTGGATAATATATGTACCTCTAAGCTGTAAATGGTCAGAGGCATTAGTCCAAAGTGCTCTGCTCATTCCAATAATAAACTGCTCACTGTTATATGTCTCTTCAGTGTCAGCTAAAGCTGGTTCGAGATCACTTTCACTTTCATATCAAGAAAATATTTCCTGGTTTTCAGACATTTTGTCTGCTTATGAGCTGCGAGGCTTCTGGATCTCCTGGGCCCCGGATGGAACCATAGCCGTGGGACGGGAGGGAGAAGGCAGCCCATTCCTGCAATGGCAGGACCCAAAACCGCTGCCTTTCCAGTACTTAGGTTACTCCACAGGGGCTGGCAATGCTGGACAGTTTATGTTTCCATGCCAAAGTATGTATATTGCATTATGTGCATTATATTTCCTTTTTTTTTTACAAATATTTACCTTCGCCAAGAAGTTTAATATGTTTTCAGGGGTGTTCGTGTGTCTGTGTGTGTGTGTGTCTGTGAACACGATAACTCAAGAAGACTTTGATGGAAGTCTTTTGCATCAATCATACATTGTAGATGGTGCTTGCATGAATATAATGATACATAATTTTTATGGTGTTGTAATTAGCAACACTCGGAATAGTTGTTTGTCGCGAATGATCATGAGATAATCATTGTTGTTCTCAGTAACAAATAAAGATTGTTACTTTTGGGGACAAATTAGTATTGTTTTGGGTGGCACTCTAATTTAGCTTGGTTTGTATGTTTGGATTTGGGTTTAATCTGGTAATTGACCTGTGTTTGAGAATGTAGTTTAGAAACTTTTATTTCAACAGGGTTAATGCTTATTATGTATCATTATGGCTTGGGTATCTGAAGGAAGAGTTTTGTTTAGATACAAATTAAAGGCCTAATGTAAGTAAATTATGTCAAATAAGGTCCTTGGTTTGAAGCAGTTATGATTACATGATTCTCCACTTGAGCTACTTAAATCCACCGTCATGTTTGTGTCCTCAGCTTGTGAGCACGTCAGAAGGACTGGAGAAACCACACTTTACCAGTGGGACCTCGAGCTTCCCGGGTCGTCACCTTTGACCTTCAGAGTCAAGGCCAGCCACACTGTTTTCATCGCCTTGTCTTGGGAACGGTCCAATCGTGGCGACTTGTATGAGATCGTCATCGGTGGTTGGTGGAATGCACATTCTGTCATTCGCCGCTCACACGAAGGCCACATCAAAGCAACTGTTGCTACACCAGGTATGTTTTTACTGAGTAGAACTGTAACGGCAACTCTTCCAGATCTCCCTGAGTCAGAAACATCAAGATTGAAGGCTATTCCGAGATCAGGGTGCGCCAAAGGGTTGCACTTGGGCCAATTTTTCAAGTTTTATATTTTTCTACTTTCAGTGCAGAAAATCGCACTAGAGGTGTTGCCATACATTGCACTTTTTAAATTTTTGGACAGAGACGTTCAGTTCAAAAGTTGTGCTCTATCCAAACTTAGCCCATTCATTTCAGAATG